AAAACCATCCTTGTCAGAAAAACAGGAACTTACATGCTCCCGTTCAGATGCTGGAACAGAAAGAGTGGTGTTTTCATTGACGTACGACGACCAGACAGCAGACACTGGGGATCACCAAGCACGAAAAACTGTACTTTTGGTAGACGAATATGAAATATGAATACCACACCAAGGAATTTCCAAAAAAAAAGATATCCCAGTATTAGAGTAGAGGCGATAAAAGTTCAATTCGAAGACGAGCAGGCAGTTCGACAAGAGGGACACGAGCAACCACAATCGTTCAAGATGAATGCTGCGGTAAGAACCCCCACTTCTAGGTACCGTTTATGTGTCGCGTTTGTCCATAAGTTTATTGTTACATTCATGACTCTTTGTCTTCAGAGAGTTAGTGTAGTTGCCAATGTTCTTAAGGTGGATGAACCTTACCCATATGACTAGGGGGACGGAACATTCTCCGTTTGAAGGTGCGCGCGGAAAATTGCGTGGCGAAAACCAGAGTCGTTCAAATCGCCACGAAGTTCACCGCACAATTTGCCAGCGCACCTCCAAATGCACCCACTATCCATAACTGCGAAAACTGAAAGATTACGCTCAAATCCCCTATGATGGGTGAAGTATCAATCGAAAAGGTTTACAGGAGAATTGCGGATTTTTCATGATGTTGTGATCAGGGGGTTTTGGGGAATCACTCCAAGAGAACCACTCAAGTTTGGGTGGTTCTCTTGGATTCATCGACTCTCCATTTACCCTTTTATTTATAAAGTCCACAATCGTACAGTGACCCGAATCACGACTACAATATATAACAACGTGGTTAGGAACATGGAATTCGAGTTGAAGGCTTGAACTTATGCTCGTCGTTAAAGAGCCTTGAGTTCCTTGAATTCCTACCTGACAACGTCCCGTGCGAGTCCGCCAGGATTTCCGACGTAACAGCCTGACGGCTGAACCGAAGTGCTATCGCTCCCACCGCGTAGCGTGAGCAGCTTACGCCTACCGAGCGCAGCTTCAACCGAGGCCGCCTTCCGCGCTCTTATAATCCGCTGGGGGCGGGGTTTGAATGACATCATGAACGACGGTTCATGACACAGAGGATTGAAGCCACAATCAGCTTCCTCGCCATCATGAGTGAAGATAGGCTGCTTTCATAGTCCGCCGGCCAGCCGGCTCGCCGGCACTAAAACGAATTAGTCGGTGTAAGAAACCTACGTTTCTCGCACTTTATTTCTAGATTCTTCACGGTCGGGTTCTGACCGTGAAATAAAATGCAACAGACGTAGATTTCTTACACGAACTAATTCGTTTTAGGTCAGCCGGCGGACTATGGAAGCAGCCATACAGAGCGGAAGGGGTTTGTGTCGATTCGTGCGATTCTGGGTGCGGCGCGGCGAAATTCGGTGCGATTTGGACGACTCCGGCGCCTACCATTGGGGCCCAAATCTGAACAAGAGTACACTAATAAGGTCAGCTGATCCTACTAATCTACTGTACTTAAAAATTGGGCCCCAGTAATAGGCGCTGGAGTCGTCAGAATAGATATGAATTCGCAGCGCGCAACCAGAATCGCACGAATCGTGCGTCTCCCGAGCGGAAGGCATCAGGTAGCCTCCTCGAATTCTGCAAACAATAAATTTCCTTTCACGACATAACCTCATTTGAGTGCACAAATTTTCACACGTCACGTATACAACGGATGGAAAAGAGGCCTTGGAAGAACACCGGTATGCGGGTGGGACAGTGAAGGAGTTACGCTGTGCTTTTTTGAAAATGGCGCGCAGACCATGCTGCGCTCCAATGTTGAAGGAATGAAGACCCAGAACTGAAACCGCTACACCGCCGCAGGCGGGGGAAAGAGGCTCCTGCCTCCCGCTCTGCAGCACTCGTCCTTCATCGTCTTCCGTCGATGTGAAATACTTGGCGAACCGGCGCTCGATCATTATCGATCAGCTTGTGCAAGAAATCGGCTGCAGAGTTCTGTATTATAAAAGCAAACTTACTTGGGACTCACTAATTTTCACTTCAGGGCAAGCGGCAGGGGTCTCGCGACGGCTACCGCAATCTTCTCCGCATTGGAATTCAAGTTTTTCCCTTCACAACGCGCGGTCAAATGTCGAACACAAGAACCCTCATCCGATGCTGGCTTGCAAATCGCTGACTTTCTCTGTTTCAGAACCATGTGTTTCGATAACTGCTCAGCGAATAAGGAGAGCCTTCTTCATTCTTCGGGAAGCGAGAAAAGCGGCGGATACCACTTGCCTGGATGGGGCTTCAAATGCGACCAATCCAGCTATTCATTCCATCACTCAGGCCTTGTCCAAGGTACTAGTAAGCTCGTCCATGGAGCACTGTAAGGGCCACTCAGCGTCTCTACTATTTCCACTGCAATCGCAAGTATAATGCCTGGAACGGAACTGATAATCGCCACTAACTTTCCCTTTCCATTGAACCTACAAAAAAATGAAAAAAAAAACAGGAAGCATCAGGTTGGCCAACTGTTTAGCAGACTTTTCCGCGCTGGTCGTAATAGACCGTAAATGCCGCATTATATCACTTTCGCTGACAGGATCGCTTACAATGATGCACGAAATCCCATTTGATTATTTAATGGTGTTTCTGTATGGATCGCTTCGTGACGCTGATGAGCGCTGTCTGGACGAATTTGTTGTGAAACGTGGAAGTGTGTGTAGGTATGGGAGGGGGCGCTCTGGTGCATGGAAGCTCACTTCTAAGCCATGGTCGCGTTTAATTGGATAACTGCTGAAACCCTGAGTTTATCATAGTCGAAACACAATACCTCAGAGCTTTTGTTTTCCCCTCATCCTTAAACGGACTGAGCAAAGGACATGGATCGGGAGGCGCCAAAGTGGCTACTGCGTGAAGACTTACTGGTTAGTCACTCTCAGTCCGTCGCCTTCTTGGCTAGTTGCATCAGGACATTCGATCTTTGCCTATAAATGGTAGAGGGTCCTGACATCACCAGCTGAGACAGACTTGATTGAAGGTGACTAGTTTTAGTAGTTTTTAGCATAGTAGAATGATGACGTCTCCTGACATCTTCGAACTCGAAGAGGCATCACGCCCACAGTACTCTAACATTGAGTGCATCCTACTATACGTGTAACACAGCTTGAAAGCTATTTAATAAAAAATTTGACATCCTGCATAACGGTGGTGTACCTGAAGCACGGTCCATAATCACTCCAATCGGCGCAGTTGGACGTTTTTCCGGCTTGTGAAACGGACGAAAAAGCGGATGCAAGGAATGGCTGGGCAATAGGCAAGAGCGAGAGCAATAACACAAAGAACAGGGACGTCTGCTGGAACGACATGACGACGTTCGCAGCAAGGCGAAACGAGAAATCACGATGATGGTTTTCCGCTGTCAATTTTGTGGATCACGGGAGCGCGCCCTGGAACAGGTTAGCCAATTGTCGGTTCGGCTGAACGAGAGGTGTAGATGAAGAGACAGACGCAGCTTGAAGAGGCGGGATTGCGTAGGACTCTGTTCGCGTACGAGTGTGTCGGGTGATTCTGGGAAGGGGGAGGGAGGACGGGAGAGGCTAGTAAGACTTTCAGTGTGAATGGTCTGCAGCCTGAACTATCGATCACGCCGTTCGGTTGAAGACAACACCAACGTGATGGCAATTGAAAGAATCAGGTTTCCTAGCAAACGTAGTCAAAGGAGCATCAGCAGCGACAATTTCCTGACTGTCTAAGTACGTGTAAGTGAGGTACACAATTTGATTAAACTTTCACGATACGCCATTGTAGATAATTATTAATAGGTATTATAAGGCATGGAACAATCCTAGATGCCAATAAGTAGACCCTTTGCTTTTTGGATCTCAAATAATTGGGAAAGGGCAAGGCCTTCGTTGGACAGAGGGAAAGCGGTCTTTGTTGTTTACGTCAGGGTCTCATGATCATATAAGAAGGACCGTTCCGAAATGTACCAACCTCGATCATTCCATATTTAGACCCTGCAGCAGCGTTTCTGATCAGTTATCGATAGCAGCGTTTTGTTACGTACCCTTGAAAAGCTGGCTATGAACACCGAATACGATTGCCGCCCTCGTAATAGTCCAAAGAGAGCAAACCGTGCGCTCGGTTGTAATAGCCTCTAGCACCCGTCAGCGTAGGCAATGATGGCGACAACGAATTGTTTACGTAGGCTGGGACTGGTAGAAAACAAAAGGTACATATCGTTCAACTTCGTCAGTCAACTGGAACGAAAGTTGGAAACGAACTAGCGCATAATCGGGTTTTCGCAGATCGACCTTTCTTTTGATGAAAAGTCGCCGCGGCGAATCAGGAATTTGCGACCAAACCAGGTCAGAAAGCAACTTCACTCCGCCGAGATATTTATTCTAGCAGTGTCAATTACAAGACAAAAAGTACACTCGTCGACAACGCAAGCAGGATTCGTCTGGCATTCAAGCTATTATCTAGCATCATATTAAGTAACTGGATGAAAATCATCAAAAAAGAGGTAGGAGGGCGACATAAAGAGGATCACAACAGCTTATTTTCGACTGTGCTATTAAAGAAAACCTTTGCAGCCTTGCTTGGAGCAGGCTCTCCCGCTGTTCTCAGTGTCATGTAATGTCTTTTGATAAAGACTAACACCTTTGATACAAAGACACCTATTTGATGACTCCCAGTGATACCCAAGGATTCAAAGAAAAAACGCGGATCCATGCCCCTCTTTCCTGACGTTCAGTCCTCCCTTACACTATTATAATCGTTATAATCGTTTTATCTTGGTGTATAGATTTTTGGAAGAAGACCGGGCCACGACCGCTTTGAACAGAACGCAAATGAATAAACATACGACAGGTGGACGAAGACAATACGAGAACCAAAGGATTTCATTCAGTTTGGGGGAGCAAGAAGTGTTAGAACAAAACATCTAACGAAGTAGAAGAATTTATCTACGGGCATTGTTAAAATAAAAAAATAACGAAAATGACTTAGATCGGCCTACATACCACTTTATTTTATTAATCAAGCTGTACATGATCCTTTTCTGGGGTCGGGTTGCCGGTAATGACATTATATAATGAACTGCCGTGGAGATAGTCCATTACTCTTTGCTTAAGAGTGACTTTCAGCTGTACTTTCAGAAGAAGGTCCTTTGCGAATTCGGGATCCGCGTCCAACGTGCCGAATACCCTAGATAGCTCTTACGGAGCCGAGAAAAGAAAGGAGTTTCGTACAAGAACAGAATTAGCAAATTACCTTTCTCGTCCCCACAGAACTGAGTACGTCGAAACAGCGGCAACCAGTGCTTGGAATGGAATAAGCTTGATAAGAAGCGACCTAGCTGCTCGACTACCTGAAAGTAGATCCAATCGACACCGATTCACCAAATTTGTTTGCTTAACATCCTATCACTTACCTTCCCAACAAAGTGTGAGGAATTCAATATAGTTACTTACTGATGGAAACTTCTCCTTTGGTTGTCGATTGATATTCTGTAACTAATTGTATAGCAAGCGATATGAGCAGGCTACATTAGGTGTCAAATAAAAAGATAAAAGTAAATGGATATGAAGGGAAGGGAGGGGAAGAGGGAGGGAGAAAACTTCATAAATCACTAAAATCTACCATAAAAGCGATGAGATGTCAGTAGCATGTGACAATTGCAAAGCTGCCAATTTGTGAATAATCAAAGAAAACCACAAATTTCAAAGTGAAGTTGAGGCTTCGCTTCTGAAAGCCAATACTTGATAACATATTGGATCTTGGTTTTTAGTAACGACAAGGGTTCCCAGTTGCGCAACAGTGGATGGGAATTGGAAGCTACCGATAAGGATCACCATACATAGCTGCATTCCGAAATGGCGAATAACGAATAAGAATAACATTGGTGTAGATCGCTTCTGCCCCCCCTCCTTCCCCTTAACCACCCTTAATCATTAACTTTCCGCCTCCATGCGGGATCTGAAGGAAGCTTTGGCAGCCACTTACAGCTTGGACAAGCCCCTCTTGATCTGCTCTTTTGATTTGCATTATTAAATGTAGAAAAAAACGACGTACGATGTAATGACAAAGATACGGTGTGGCTAGAAGAGGAACAGCGACGCCTGTGCCGAGAGCAATTGCCACACTCTTACTCAACACGCACGAACTGCACGGATTTTCGGTAAAAACTTCAGGAACTATAAGAACCTAAAAAGTCGATTCGGCGAAATCAGAATGGGATTGATTTCTTCGCAGTCGGTTTTTGAAGGCTGACAAGGTTTTGTGGAGCGATAGGGGATTCTTATTACTACGAAAATTTATCAGCAGTTTAACTCTGTTCAAACCAGCAACAAAAATTCCACCAATTGTTGGGACTGATAAAAACATTCAAAGACAACGAAATATAACTGTTGAACTGAGCTTGCTTGAGGAATTTAGAAGGCATAGCATCCAAACAACTGAATATGGTTGTCTATTGAAACTTTCTTGAAAAGAGCTCTGTTCGAGTGCAAGCCGTAAAATGGGCTTGTTCGAGAGAGAAACAATTGATAACCATATCCAGTTCGTGCATAGGATGTTCGTTACCTTAACTATGACTAAGCCAGGAATTACTTAACCGAAATCGTACCTTGCATACACTCAAAAGCATTTCAACAAGACAACCAAAATTCTTTACAAGATAATTTAGGCACTTTTTCGAAATGGTGAAAAATGATCAAGGATATGTGGAGTTTTTTTGAGCAACCACCGGCTACAAAGGTTCCAATCTGCACTGAGGTAATGCTTCGATACAGTCAAACAACTATTTCGATCTTTTTGATCAGTCATAAGAATAAGGTCTTAGATTATTTCCGAAGAAGGAAGAGTGTTAAAAAAACGACTTCATCATCCCACCTGACGCATCATGTAGTATGCGATTCCAGAGGTATAAACACCGAAGACAAACGGCGACCGCGGGCATTGCCGGACTGCCTCGAGAAACGACATCTTCGGATTGAACATAACCATATCAGCACTGATTTTTGTGGCTAGAAAATCCTGCTTGAACTATGAACTGGTCCAAGAGTATGACTGAATGGCTGCATCACAAATACTCTTTCTTCTCAGGTGTCATAAAGGAGAAAAAAAAGTTTCCTCAATTTTCCTATCTCATTGATCTAACCTTTAGAAACTTACACGATATTTCAACCCTATGAAATATTTCTTACCAAAAACAATGGCATCAAGGAGGCTCCAAAAGTCATGCTACTATTAAGTAAAGATGGCAACTGTCTTCATTTGAAGATTGACAGAAAGTAGGGTGTGTAAAATAATGTCAATGGAACAAAGGAAACGAACCAATAGCAGCGGAGGTTATGCAGTTGGCGAGAATACCAACATGAATTGGCCAATTCAACGCTCTTCGTTCCCAGGGGTACGGCCAATACTGCGCCAAGTTTGAAACCATCGTTGCCTGATCCTTAGGCGACAATTGGGAAATATTCGTCCACAGCCATGAACGTTCACCGGCCAATCGTTGTGACACTCTAAGATAGCGAACTTTGCCGAATAAAAACATCAGCCTTTGGTAAGAATTTTAGTTTACATAGGTACATTCTTCAGGAACTTTTCACAACAAACAAGCGCGCGCTCTCAAAAGTCATAATGGTCAAAAACGCCACAAACAACACCCTTTCTACAAACTTCGTCTCACAACCACCACGATTCAAATTGGAGTATCATTGCTCATCATACACCAACGTCAGAAAACGCCCAAACGAGAAGTGGAACTTAGACTTGAAATCGACAGATTTTGAGGGAATTCCCTATGAAGAGTTAGTTCCTCCAGTGGTCAAGGGTTAGTTCCCTTGCTGCTTCACCCCTAATAAACTCTGGTGTTATTTAGTCTCCAATAAAGGAGGTAGCTAGGCCGGGTTAACACGAATAATGAAAACTACCGAAAAACATTATGAAGGTCGCTCATTATAAAAAGATACGGCTATATAACTCACACTGTTCGGGTGATTGGAAGATCGTCATTTCTCCCTCCCACTGGAACTTTTGCACGTTTCCATAATTCGACCACTTGCGAGGATGGTTCTTTACTAGAACTCGCAGTTTGTAAAGACATCACCCTACCGATGAAGGGATGAGGGAAAAACGGTCGAAAGCGCTCGTTCGTCGCCGCGCTCCATTGCCGGTGCGACCCGGTTGTGGACTGGAGCGCACCATTCGGATGAGGGGCAAAATTTTGATGTGAACCGTGAAGACCATGTTCTCAGAGGCCAACTCTTTCCTTCCCAATCAGGAGCTAGGCACTTGTACTAAGCTCCGTGTTTCTTGAGATCAACACCCCGCTAGTGGGTGATTTTTCGGTTCCGCAGTTAACCAACTATGAACAGAACCTACAGTACCTATTATTAAGGTTAGCACAATAATTAGCTATTTAAACAGCTTGAATTCATTGGGCGGTGGTTCGTCTCCCCAAAACCCCACGGCAAGCGGCGATCTACGGACTACGTGAACTCGGTTCCTTTGATTGTGGCGACGTCGCGCTCGCCGCACTTGATCCGCGCTTTCTTCTTCTTCTCCCTAGCGTTAATCCCGCGCCGTCGCAGGGTCCGCTGTTCTTGTCAGCCGTCTCCATTTCATTCTATCTAAGGCATCTTCTGCCGTCACCTTGGCTTCGGCGAGGTCCTTCTTGATCACGTCCCGCCATCTCTTCTTTGGGGCTCCTCGTGGTCGCTTGCCTTGAGCCTCGAATTCCATTGCTTCCCTTACTGGATGGCTCTGTGGTCTTCTTAGTACATGCCCGAACCATCGCAGGCGCTGCTCTCTCATCTTCAGTTGAATTGGAGCTGTTTGCATAGCCGTCCTGACGTCTTCATTTCTGACCCGATCCAGCCGAGTCCAGCCGCAGGCCCATCTGAGCATTCTCATTTCAGCGGAGTGGAGCTGTCCTTCGTGGGATTTAGTCACGGGCCAACACTCGCTGCCGTAGAGCATTGTGGGCCTTACCACTGTCCGATACACCTTCCCTTTCAGGGTCCTGGAGCACCGACGATCGCAGAGGATACCGGTG